AAATGAGGGCCTAAAAATAGCCCAGGGCCTAAGAATAGCCCTCTGTTTCAGGCTGGAAAAACTCTGGGTCTGAAAGACCCAGAAATAGGGTGAAATGGAGTAGGGCCTGCAGGCCCTCGTTTTTCAGTTTTGAGGCTGAAACGACCGGGGCCTGTAGCTCCTAAGTTTTAGGCTTTAAGGCTGAATGTCCGGGACGGGTCCTACAGGGCCCGTGTGGCTACGCAGTCTGCCACATGGACCCTCAAGGGAAAGGACAAAAGATGGAGAAGATAGTGGAGAATGGTATATGGAGGATAAAAGTTCATAAAACATAGATGGGATGACAAAAATAGAAATTGGAAAACAGAAAATGAACTAAGACCTCTGCTGAGGGGACACCATAACCTAAAGAGGAACATAGAGGACCTGATAAATAGCGTACCGATAGCATGGAGGTCGCTCCTGAACAAAGACAGTAGATGGAAAAAAAAGGGAGATTGGGCAACGATGAAAATTCAGGAGTCCCCCTCAGTAGCGTTAAGATTTAGATCGTCATCAAAGACTGACCCCAACCAAGCAATCTTCGACATACATGAGTTGGATCTATCCGGGAAGGCTATAACGATGGCACGGAGCGAAAGGTTGGAGACGCTAGAATTCAAGACCAACGACTTAAGAAAGATTAGAGTGCTTAAAAATGAACAAATGAGAGCAGGAAAAAAGGGTAAGAAGGAAAAGAAACAATCTGGCTTTTAACTAAGTTTTAGACCAAATAAAGATATAACAGAGCTGGAGGGTTGGTACGAGGATAGGGGTAGATGGCGAGCAAAGAAATGGAGAGCACTACATGAATACACAGTAAAGATAGGTTACAAAACGAGATGTAGACCAGCAAACCCCAACCAGATAATAGCAAAGAGATGGGAAAAGCACACACAAATGGACCCCTCATGACTACAAAATATACCTTGGACCTACTATTCCTCAATCAGACCTTAAAAAGTAAGAAGCCCACAATGGCTGATAGCGCACCTAGCTGTGCCAGTAAATGCATGGTTGGACATAAGACGCAAAGAGGGTGATAGAACGGAGACCTCATCCCATTGTAAAATGTGCACAGGAAATCATCCAGAAACCCTGACACATTGCTTAATAAGCTGCCCACACGCAGAGGCCTTATGGGACAAATGCTAAAAAACCTGGCATAAACTGACATCGACGGAATACCCTAAGGACCAACTCTTTCTCTTAACAGCTATAGACAAAGAAGGCACATTCATCGAAGAAAACAACCCAATACTAGAACTTCTCAGAAAAAACACACTCTGGGTGACATGGAAAGCGAGATGTGGAAGCACACTAGGGAAAAGGACCATCTCAACGAATGAAGCGTGGGAGGAGGCAAGAGAATTGATGGAAACGGAAATCAGAGTAGAATGGAAGCAGGCCCTAAACAAGATGGACAACCAAACAGAAAACACAAAGAAAATTAGAATTCAAAAGGAATTCGAGGAACCAATTTCTTACTCAGATAAACCATCCGGGATACCACCGGAAAAATAGAAAACAAATAAGTATTAGAAGCAGAAATCAAAATAGGGAACGGCCAACTACTATAACAAGGAAACAATTCTAAATGGCTATACCAACAAGAACAGGTACGATCTACAAGAGCACGGCCCATACAGATTTGCACCACGGGAACTAGGGTTTAGGGCTTTAGTAAGGAACACAGCAAACACAGCCCCACAGAGCACGGCCCAGACAGATTTTCGCCATAGCAGGACGCATCAGTAGTTCCAGCACTAAAATATCCAGAAACACGGACGGAGGTAGAGGGAGAGTAAGGGGTTAGGGTTTAGCGTGTAGGGCATAGGCCTTAGAAGTTATCTACAACTTCAGACTTAAGGAAAAATTCAAACATTATCAATGCCGGAACCCCTAAGGTTCTATCTACTTAGCAAAACCAACAGTAAATGAGCCTGGCCAGTAACTTCAGTACTTAAATCTGGTCCGACAGCCAAAAAGCTGAGAGGAGTAAGCCAGTCAAGACCTACGCAGATATGCCACATACCACAAACAGAAGTAGCAGAAGCCAGCCTACCTGCAGAGTCAGGTCCTAAGTCAACCAGGCTAACTTAGGCAGGGGTGAGGGGTGGTACATCCTTCCAAAAGGAAGTAATCAATGCCGTCCACTCGGGCCTCCCAGCCATAATGGGGAGGAGCGTTCGTGTATCCTTCTTGTACTCATCATTGACTTGCCGGGGGAATAGGAACCGGACTGTTGCTCCCCAGAATGGTAGGAGCCAGAACCTTGAGGTTCTGAGTTCTGTAAAAAAAAAAAAAAAAAAAAAAAGAAGGTGCTGCTGGCCGTGGCCTGGGTTCCCTCAACCAACTGGCGCGACACAACTGTCTGAACCCCAAATGTGAAATTGACAATGATGGGCCTCTTGTAATTTTATCAGGCCCGCCTTCACTTAGGGCGGGCACACATGCAAAATGGGCCCCTTAGGCCTGCCGAGGAGCCAAATCCTCGCATGCGCACACACACACACACACACACACACACACACACACACACACACACACACACACAGAGAGAGAGAGAGAGAGAGAGAGAGAGAGAGAGAGAGA